AAATTATTTCGTTACCCCCACCGACGCTGCCCCAAACAGTTTCTTTAGAAACTATCAGCCTTGAGACACGAATAGTTCGATTAAATTTAATGAATTTTGCATATATGTGTTGAATTTCTTTTGCTATTGCTAAACGTAATTTAAAGCCAAGTTAGATGTACGAACTGATTGTCGCTTGAGTTCTCTGTTCATCTCTATAAATTATTCTTTCTAATTTCGAGATTATTCAACACACGTTACCGAAAAAAGAGGAAAAAAGGAAAGAAAAGAAAAAAAAAAAAAGCAACCGGAACAACACACGTAAACTTATTCCTGGTGCGTCGTGCGTGACACTAAATTCTTTGCGCAAATTTCTACTATTTGCCGGAATATCGCTGCGATGGGATTTTCTTTCTTCACAAGCCATACTGCAAATCACACTTCCTGTTTTAACAAGTAGCCTTTTGAGAAAACACGCTGACACAAATATAACCTGACCCGACATTTTTTCGGAGGGTCAGCGCAATGGACGAATACCAAAATTAAAATAATCCCGGGCCGGTATTGGCTTGAGTCGTCTCATCCATGATGCATGCATGTCGCGTTATTTAGGTAAATCTTTTTCCACAGCGGTTTTCAAACCACAGTGAATTTAATGGAGTGTTGGCAGGGTAAAAAGAAAGAAACAAAGAAAGAAGAGGAAAAGAAAAAAAATAACCAAGACCGAACGAGGATGTCCAAGAATTAGCTTTACAGGCAATAAAAGAAGGAAAACGACGAAGCTGCTTCCAAAAAATAGGAAAAAAACATTGATCCAAGGACCAAATTTTATTCACAAAACCTGGCAAATTACTCGACATAATACGTAACATTACGAAACATTACGCAGCGGTACAAACATCAACCAAAAGTACACACTACAACTAATGAAACGTACCAACACTCAGAGTTGATTAACACGTAAACGAAGTACAGACAGGAAACGGCATGACAGTAAGTTTGGCGCTAACAGATGTTTACAATTAATATCTGCCTCCCCATCACAAAACGTCGGATTTTACCTTAAGCGCATGAGTGATTCTTATGATGATGATAATAAGAACAATAATGGCGATGACAAGGACAGTGATGGTCATAAGGACTTTCCGTAATAACAACTTTTACTGTCGATCGAAACTCTAGACAGCCGAAGAGGCTACCTCGGCATCTTAACCTTCAATGTTTCTTTCTCTTTCCTTAAAAATGCTTGGAGTCTCTTGTTATCATCACCCACTTTTTTCATCGTACTGTAGGAAATTGACTGGCAACACGTCGGAGAAGACTTGAAGGAAAAGGCGACGGAATTCCTGAACATCTACTTCTTTTTTTTATAAGAAATGACTCTCTCTGTTTTTTTGTACGCCACGTTGATGTTAATCATATCGGCCACGTCTACGTTCTGAATAGGTCAAAGGGATAAATAAAGGAAGTTAGAAGTTGCGTTTTATTTTTGACGGGAGACCACTTTCAAATGATGGTAACAGTTGCCTCATATCCGAATAGTTTAGTAAAAGACCCCTGTTAGAGCTGTCTACGATAGATTTGCCTAACTGCTTCTTTGTCACCTGAATTTCTTCCAGATTCTCCTTCTTTATCATGTTAAACCTATAAATTACTAGAACTGATTGTCATTGCTCTTGGGTAGTTGTGGATACCGTTAATCCGTTGTGAGAGACATGATGAGTCACAGTTCGTTACGCAATATGGAGATCAATTTCGGACAAATTTCAGGATAACGACCGTTAAGGCGTCGAAAACTGAACTTTTGCTTTCCGTCTATTAGCAAGATATCCACAAAGTGAAACTATTTGCATTGTTTAATGATGCCCTAAATTTATTTTCTTTACTCTTTTCTAACTTATTGCATGGTAAGTTTCAGAGGAACGTAAGGAAAATGAAAACATTTGAAAACCGGTTTTGAAAATGGAGGTAAGAGTTCGATTGATATCGTAATCGAAAAAAACAGTGTAAGGTGTAAACCAGAGGACTGTCTCTCAGACTATCAGTAGGACAAAAATAGATTATCAACGACAACAAAGTCGAGAGACTTGGTCCCTCGGCTTTTTTGGTCCTCCTTCTCTTCATCATTCTCGTAACTGTCGGAGACCTTCAAAGTGAGTAAGGCTAGAAATCGAGAAGACTGTTTTTATACATAGGGAACAAAAGTATTTATGTCGTTGAAACACTTGGCGAGGACATAAGGGTACGCTTTCGTTTTACTTGCTACAAGTAGGGGAAGTGATCTGGGAAATTTTTTGCATGCCTCTTATTCAGTCAATCACTTTATTTTTAATTCTTTTGAATTTAGAGACGAAGAAACTCCTTTGGAATGGCCAAAACACTGATTTCATGCTTTCCATTCATGTAAACTGCGCGTATATTGTCTTTAGCGGGAAACATTTTTATTATTAATGCCACGAGAACATTAAAGTTAACTCAGCCACTTTACTATACAAATGTAGTGGTGAACAAGTATGGAAATTTCACAACTGGCAGATCGCAAACCCTGTAATCAAGCTACAGTCAAAGGCCAAAAAAGCGGCAATTCTCTTAACAGCCTCAAAAAGATTTGTAGCAGATAAAGTTAATGTCAAGGGATCTCGTTGTCTTAGAGTAAGGTGTTTTAACATTTATTTCAAAAGGAAGTTTAGCCATTAAGTCAAGCACGCTTAGCCTTAATGTACTTTCACCTCCAAAGTCTTAAAGTGGATGTAGGATACAAAAAGCTCGTCTGAATATATAAGTATGTAAGATTTGATATAATAGCTATGATTCTCTATGGTTCTTTATGCTAGGATTAAGAACAGACCTTTAATTATTAATAACTTCAGCATGCTTTCAAATGCGCCAGCACGAAGAGAGAAGATAATAAACCATACAAACAGATGGAGACTTGCGACATAAAGGAAATTGCGATTTACGCAGTTATCACAAACTGCGACAGTGAGTCATACAAAATCCTTATATTAGGAGTTGCAATTTAACAATCGTACTAAACCTTAAATGCAATGTTTACATCAACAAGATACATCGGAATAGATGTGACTCAGATTATTATTTTCAAGGTAAAAAAACACATTTCCAAGCACAACTAAAACCTTTCATGTTTGTTCAACCATTTAAGTGTTGATTGAACCAATAAAAAGCTTTCTTCTCTTCAAATGCATCACAGCTTATCGGATTATCAGGTTATCAGCTGTATCACCATCTTATCAACTAGTCAGAATCGACTGGTTGCCGGTTTTCTGGTTGCTACGTGACCCATGTTGTTCGAACACACGAAAAAAAAACGGTCTATGTTTCGTTAATGCGCAACAGAAAACTTTATTACTCTGCCGTCAGATCTTATTCCTTCGAGCAAATAAATAGGTATGCATTTCTGTCTAATTAGCCATTGGTCATGTCAGCGGATTTCAAGTGCAACCTCGTTTCATTTTTCTTGTTTTCGATATTCGCTGCAGCCGAGGGTTCTTCAGGTAACTACTTTTATCATTTCCTGTGTGTTCATGGAGTTTCTTTTTTAATCTTTTATATATTCAGTCCCAACACTGCTTGGCGACTTGATCCTATAAGTTGGACTAAAGATATTGGGCGATTCCCAGCTAAACCTATGCTCATTGAAGAAATTTACACCAAAACATGATATTTTTACACAAGACATTTTGATGAGCAAACTTATTAATCTTCATAGAGTCAGTTGTGCTAGTCCACTATAATCTACTAGGTTTAATCGATTGAAAAGTTACAACGATTTTCAGTGCGATAGATTTATTGCTATAGCCTTGTAGCATTGTACATTGGAGAGAATTTTGTCGCAATATTTTATTATAAAATTCATTTTTATTTTTCTCACACCAGGAATAAAAAGTTCGGAAGAAGGATGGCGCCCTTTCAAGCAGACATTTAAACAGCGTCAGTTTTTAAGAGAGGAATTCCATCATCTGAACGTAACTCGAGTTAAAATAGTCACTTTGTACTATCTGTTAGATTGTACATTTGAATGTTTGAGAAATACTTTGTGCCTTTCAATAAACATTGCCGTCTCTAGAGGAGAAGATGGAAAGCTATGGTGCGAATTGTTGTCTTCTGATAAGTACAGAGCCGACGCTGAGAACTACAGCCAAAACATGAGTTCGTATCATTTGTTTATTCCGGTAAGAGCTTGTTTGATTCTGAACCAGTATATATCTTATTCGCATCAACGCCTTAACAGATAAAAATGACACTGAACGGAAACGCTGTTGGTAATTCTAAAGCGATATGCTTCATTTACCACATTTACTGTTCAAGTATTAGTGTGTCTTAATGATCCGTAATGTTCCTGACTTATTTCAGTCTCCTTGTTCTTCATCGCCATGTCAAAATGGAGGAACCTGGATCCCCAATTACGACTACAATTCTTACGACTGTCTCTGTGAACAAGGCTTCGTGGGAGAATGTTGTGAGAAAGGTAATTGACATATCAGCACTCCCTTATCTCTATTCAAAGTATGCAGTCGCTAAAACGGTATTTGAAAAGATAAATTTTGAATTTCCTGCTTTTTCTTTCTTCTCTTGATGTGTGTATTAGTTGCATACCCTTGTCAGGGTGCGAATAGGCAATAAGCCCAACAAAAGTCATTTTTGGTTAAAACTTTATTCACTGAAGTGGAGGTGATTAGTCGTGGATATCTATAGACATCGAGGTGAAAATTCCAGTCGTGAATACCGCCAGACTAAAAATAAATAAATAAATAATCAGTTTATTTAACCTTTTGGTAGTGTTAAACACTGAATTACAAGGGAGACAATAAAATTCACTCAATTCTACACAGAACACAATTCACTTGGCATAACAAGACAAAAACAATTAAGCCCTATTGTAACTGTGATGGGTAACGAACTTACTAAGGCGGTCTGTTCTGTCGAAGCGGATTTGAGAACAGGAAAAACCGGACCTCATCCCGTACCCATGAGCGACATTCGTGGGGTGTGGCAGCAGGACTGCAAGGAAGCCGGACTCCTTGATCTTTAATATTAAACGCCTGCAAGCCTCATCACGGAGCGCCAACAGAGTAGGCAAGCCACAGCTCACAAGTGCAGACTCATAAGAGCAATCTCATGAAATCTGGAAATATGAGCAATCTGGCAATATGATTCTCAGTGCAGACATCTGAGTAAAAATAACGGAGTAATTTATTTCCAGCGTTATATCAAAAAATTATCGAATAATCGACCGCTTACCGTACTTGCTGCAATACTACTTGCTGCATTACTACTTGCTGCAATACTACATGGTGCAATACTACCTGCTGCAATACTACTTGCTAATCACCTTCTTGCTTTCCTGTCGCACTTTAATTTGTATTATTGCCACTCTTTTATATACAAATCGCACTCTCCACTGAACAAAAACAAAAAAACCAACAACAGTGTCGCTCTTTATGATAAGAGACTATAGCAATCGGTATTAAAAAAAGAAATTGAAAGGTGTCGCATTTTCTTAAAGCCAAAACTTGGAATTTGCGACAATTTTTATCAAGTGCAACGGAATTAGTGTTGAGCTGACCAATGAGCGATTAGAGAGCGCAAAAAAAATACTACTTGGATATGTGATCTATTCTTATCATTATCCTCGATGAATAAGGCAATAATCTGCTTAACTTGTCGAATGCAGAAAAGTTTTATGAAAGTTATCGGTGGGGTGAAAAGAGGTTTACCTCTTCACCATGCAGTTTGCAATAGGCTCCAAAAAGTTTTGATCTCTGTAAAAAACTGCTTGCTTCACAGAATATTCTGTTAAGTTAACATTCTCTTCAGATTAAAAACAGATCTCTCGAGCGGGAATGTTTCCCGAAAAGGCGATACATTGTCACTATTTAATTATAATTGTACATAACAGAAAAATTTCTGTCACCAACTACGTTCAAAATGCAGGAAAAAGCGACCAGATAAATCTTGGCTTAACAGGCTTAGATATTGCAAGTAGCTATAGTATGTGGTAAAGTAGAGTTTATTGTTTTAGTTAAACTCCGTCCGCAGTTCTCCCACCTAACTTATTTCCAGCTATTTAGATAAAACTATGGCTCCTATCGTCAGAACGTCACCACAGGCAAAATTTTGGTCAGTATTCCATCATAAACTACCGACCAACCTGGAACTTTCAAATGCGCTCACTCAAAATCTTTCCTTTCATTCATAACGTAGAAAAAATATTAGGACTCAGCGATCTTTTCACGTGCACTTCCGACACTGCCATCTTTTGCATTACTTGCACTAATTGCAAAAAGATATACATTCGCGAAACAGGAAGACGACAAGGTGACCGACTCTGAGAAAATCTTCGCGACGCAAAAAGGAATGAAAAGGACGCATCTAAACTTGTCGCTAGACACTTTAATCTCCCTAACATTCCTATGGAAGTCCGCGGCCTTTCTTTGCATCCAGGCAGGTCGGAAAGCCGGAAAACTCAAGAGAAAAAATTAATCTTTCAATTCGGCACCCCCAATCAATTACTCTTTCTTGTTATTCTCGTTACCATTTTCACACCAGTATCGTAGCTCCATTTTCTGCATACAAACCCACATCCCACAATTCCTTCATACGCTCTGGCGAAGGGTTTACGCCCGAAATGTCAGCTTTGAAACTCTTTACGATGGCTAATTTACATTATCGACTCAGCTGATATTACCAAACTATCTTTTTTCCCAAAGCCATAACGTCGTGCAAGGAAATGTATGACATCCACAGGTTAGTTCTTTCCTAACATGTTTTTACAACTTGAACTCCTAAACTGTCAACAAGCAAACCATTTGATGTGAGCACTATTGTTTCTCCACAAAAATAATTTCGCATTACCACTCGAGCCTCTCCCCCCTCCCTCCCTGTCTGTGAGCAGACATCACCCAAAAGGCACAATTCTCTACTGCTTAAGCTCATCTTTGAAGACATATTCAATAACTAATACGTGCGATGTCTTAAGAGTTTTAAAATACAATTACAACAAGATGGCATTCTTCTCACTCCTGTCTAGTTTTCTTTTCAAGTATTGGGGGATATTTGAGCAGACTACGAGGCTGGAAGAGGAGTGATGAACACGAGTATTTTTTTTAGCGAAAACGCGCACCTACGATGAGACATAAAGTAACCTTCTTATCTCAATTCCTCTTTGAAGGAGTTCTGAAAGGAAAGTCTAGACGCATATCGATCGGAGGTAGACAAGGATGAAGCGAGGAGGAGAAGGCTGGCATTTTAGCAACACAGAATATAGCTTTACATTAGAAAGCACTCAAATCTAGTTATTTTTATTGCGGGACTGCATTTATTATCAAATCATGATTTTTGATTCGCCAGTTGGGGCTAATAATTATTCTCAATAGATCTGACGTCACTGAACTCGTTACCCTTCGTTTGGACTCCCAACCAGTCTCCATTCTTTGTCACATGGGAGATTTTGGATGTGGAGATGGAGGATGGACGCCGGTTATGAAGATTGATGGCAGTAAGGTAAATTCTTTTCACATTCCAGTTTTCTTCATGTAAATAATTGTTGAAGCCGAATTATGCCACAGCCATAGACTTTACAGCATTACAAACTTAAACAGTATAAGGGAACATTAACTACTGCAGATAGCATCAAGCTTGACAAATACTTATAGGTCTGTAAAAAGACATAATTAGTGAATAGCGCGTTTTTCGTTTTCTATTTTTTGACTTGCCGCCGAGCAAGATATTTCTTTTTATCTTAACTTGATATTTTATCTACTATTTTAGGTCTTAATTGTGTTTTGGCTTTGTAGTCTGAGGCTGTTAATGTAGTTTTAAAATCCTAGTCATATATATAAATAATTGAGAATTTTTATGTAATTCATTTTTAAGAAACAGGGCCCCTATGGATACCAGCCTTGAGCTGAATGGGCTACCCTGTGTAACTAAAGTTTTACTTACTTACTTACTTACCAAGAAATGTTACTTACTTTGAGAAAAATACAGGGTGAGATGATCATTCTAGGGACAGAAGCATACATAATGCGCGTGATCGATAGTAAAGAAGCAATTATAAGTATTCTTTCATTCTTTTTGTTTCAGTCCACTTTTCATTACAATGCACACTACTGGAGGGATTATGAAGAATATAACCTTCTCGGGGGAAAGACTGGGTTCGACGGTCAGGAAACAAAGCTACCGACATACTGGAAAACGTCCTTCTCCAAGATCTGTCTCGGTATGAAAATCGGACAACAGCTCAGGTTCATAGCCGTCAACAAGCAAGCTGACTCTCTGTATTCACTGATTGCTGATGGGCAATACCGCGCCACCTCACTGGGTCGAGACAAGTGGAAAGAGTTGATTGGTTCGCAAGGGTCATTACAGTACAACTGCAACAAAGAAGGGTTCAATGCCGTTTGTAGTTGGAGTCTAAATTCTAAAGCTAGAATTGGTATCGTTAGCAACAACCAGAATGAATGCTCCTCGTGCGACTCAAGGATCGGATTTGGTACAGCAGGGAACCCTGACGATTCGAACACTTGTGGTAACGAGGCAAGTCAGAGTGGCGTAGATAATGGGATAAAACATGTCAAAGCCATGGGATACATCCTGGCACAGTGAGGATTTATATAAACTCATCCTATTTAACATAATTCGCATTTTTTGGTATTCGAAGATGTCTGCATCGTATGAGGAGTTTAAATATCTATTGGTGAAAGTGAATAATTTATAAGTGTCAGCCACAAATGTCAGCTGATAACTATTTCTACAAGCTGTATTTACAACATCATTGATTGAATTTTAAAGGCCGGAAAAATCAATATGAGTCCTGGAAATGTCCTTGAAATATGTTTTGAAACCTCTCCCCTGCCTTTAGCCTGTCAAATTTATCTCATCAGTCTTTTGAAATGATTAAAATGGAAAAAAATGGTTATGCTTTGTAGCTAAATATCTATGTGGACGATTATTCAGTAGAATAGAATAACCTGCTCCAAAGGACTCTTCTGAGGTCCTCAGTAGAATAAACCAGCACACGAGTAATTTTGGAAATAAGGTTAACTGAAAATCTCAGAATTTCCAGAAACCTTACCTAGAAAGCTCCACTGGATACTTATCTAATAACATCTTGGGTCCAACTCGTTCCCACGGCCTTTTCCCTTTTCCCTTTTCCCGCCCTACCCTCAACCAAGGGAAAAGTCCCAAGGAACAAGGTTGATCGGAGGTAGCACCGAAATGAAATGCTGCTTGAATGTAAATTTCCTCCTTAACCCTTAAAACCGATTGTGTCTTTTTACCACATCTCTTTACTCCTGTGAAGCCTGTGTCCCTGAGCTCCTTCCACTTTGTCTTTTTATCCACCCCTCTACTTACCTCCGACAGTTTCAAATATCCTGCTGGCTCTGAGATCCATATCTCCAGTTACTTACTGGTCAGCGGTACTCCTTCTCTCGCTAACTGTTTATCTTGAATAAGTCACAGGAAAGTAAAAAATATTATCCCAAGGTTTTCTCCGGTAGGTACAAGACAACGGGAACACTTGTTATTTCCTATCAAAAAAGAATAATTATTCTGTTGACGTTCGCATTACACGAGATTCACAGCTCTGTTTCCTTGTAACTGAAAGCCAGTTATTTTTGCTTCCATCGTTGGTTTTCCATTTACTCCAGTTGAAATAATGTTTTTGGATGGTCCATCAAATATCGAATACCAAAATCATCAACAGAAAGATGACAATTTAGAGTAACAAATAATTGTTTATTATTTGGTTGAAATAACTACACCTTTTTCGATAGTTTGACATAAAATACGTGCGTAGATTCTGCGAGTTGCGTTGTTATGCGAGAAATGTAAAAATTCAGTAAAATATCCGGTGCAATGCCTTACCGACTGTGCTAACAAGCCAACATAATGAGCAACTCCCAGTTGGCTTGAGTCAGGAATTTTTCAATCTTTTTCTGGAATTTTGATCTTAATTATTAACAGACGTTTCGACTGAAACCTTCAGTCTTCATCACTGTAATTTGTCACGTGGTAGATCACTGTCGCGCGACAAAGGTCGGGGAACGGAGAAGAGGGCCCAGTCCCAAGTGTGAGACAGAGAGAACCGGAGCCCCCCTTTCTGTTCAGGGTTGGTTCCTCCACCCGTTCCCATATCGCTTCTTTTATCTCCCTCCTTCGCCAATCTCGTTCTTTATATGAAACATATGTATGAACTGCGGTTATGAAACGTATATGTGCACGATCCTTCGCAGTAAAGCACTATTTGAGCAATAGTGAAAATCAGACCTGAAAAACATTTCAGGCCTGTACGGGATTCGAACCACTGACCTCTGCGATACTAGTGCAGCGTTCTACCAATTGAGCTAACAAGTCAACTGGGAACAGACCATCGAATTAATTTGATGGCCTGCTCCCAGTTGGCTTGTTAGCTCAATTGGTAGAGCGCTGCACTAGTATCGCAGAGGTCAGTGGTTCGAATCCCGTACAGGCCTGAAATTTTTTTCAGGTCTGATTTTCACTATTGCTCAAATAGTGCTTTACAGCGAAGGATCGTGCACATATACGTCTCGTTCTTTATCTAGGATCTTGACTTCCTTTCAATCCAACACGTGTCCTGTGTCCTTCAGGTAGGTGACACTAAATTGCTGAATTTTGATCAGGATGGGAGTTCGGTCGTTAATGTTGCTAAACTATTTAACAACCTTGATCATTCCACAAAATGCTCCCTGACACTTAAAGAGTGTATAAATAGCTATTGGCCTAAATAACTTGTAATAATCTATATAATTCGGCATCGTCGAAAACCCTTTGCCCGTGTTCCGTTGACAATAAACCTTCGTAGGTTTATTGGTAACGGAACATCGGCAAAGGGTTATTTATTTATTTATTTTAATGTTTTTATTGTATTAATATATATATTTATGTGTGTATGTTTTTAATATTTTAGATGCAGAGCTTCATTGTAAATAAGTGACTTAGCTTTATGGATTCTGTGCCTAATTAAGTATCTATCTATCTATCTATGTTGTTTTAGCCTGGCTCTGATGGACTGAAGAGTCTCTCCAACATAGGTTTTGGCGCAGCCCTTCCCTCTACAGGTAATACCATATACCAGGTTGGAGTGCCTCTCAAACGGCTGTTTTTCTTTAACCCGTAAACCTTCCAGGAGCGTACTAAGCTCCGTGTGGACAATCTGGTTGAATTAATCGAAATTTGCCTCAAAACCACCTATTTTTCCTTTGGAGGAAAGTTTTACACACAAGTACACGGCTGTGCCATGGGGCCCCTGTATCCCCCATCATAGCGAACCTCTGAATGGAGGCCTTCGAACAGCAGGTGTTACACACCTTCACCGGCACGCCCCCTCGACTGTGGCTCCGTTACGTAGTCGACACATTTGTGGTGCTACCTCAGAAAGAGATTTACTCTTTTTTTGAGCATATTAACAGCGTTAACCCCCATATTCGGTTCACTCAGGAGTCGGGTCATGATAATGCTATTGCTTTCCTGGATTGACATCTTCATGTGAATGCCGATGGAAGTCTGGCAACAAAAGTGTATGGGAAACCTACCCACACTGATCATTATCTACAATTTGACTGCCACCATACCTTAATACATAAGATTGGGGTTTTCCGGACACTTAGTCACAGAGCGGAACAGGGGATCAGTGATCGTGACATCTGGACAAATATGATAAAACCACATCAAGAAGGCTCTCCGACAATGCAGATATCCTGACTGGGTGTTCAGCGGAAACCAAAAAAATCACGATGATCGGGGTGTGGGACTGATACCATCAAGAGGGGAAACAAGGCCTGGGTAACCGTGCCTTACATACGAGCCCTATCTGAGAATATTAAGAACATTCTCAAAGAGCACGGCGTAACAGCGTTTTACAAACCCCAGAACACTCTAAGACAACAGTTGGTCAAGGTTAAAAACAAAGAGCCGTTTGAGAAGCGCTCCATCCTGGTATGTGGTATTACCTGTGGAGGGAAGGGCATCACCGAAACCTATTAGGGAGAGACTCTTCAGTCCATCAGAGCCAGGCTAAAACAACATCAACGACCGAACTCCAATCCTGATCAAAATTCAGCAGTTTATTGTCACCTAAAGGACATGGGACACGTGTTGGATTCAAAGGGAGTCAAGATCCTAGAAGAAGAACGAGAATGGCGAAGGAGGGGGATAAAAGAAGCGATAGGGGAAAGGGTGGAGGAACCAACCCTGAACAGAAAGGGGGGGCTCCGGTTATCTCTGTCTCGCACTTGGAACTGGGCCCTCGTCTCCGTTCCCCGACGTTTGTCACGTGATAGTGATCAACCCCGTGACAAATTACACTGATCAGTCGAAACGACTGTTAATAATTTTTTAGACCAAAATTCTAAAAAAAGGTTTTAAAAATTCCTCATTTGAATTGAACCCATATGACATTATTATCCAATTACACTTCGTAGAGTACAAATAACGCCATAGATGAGTACAAATATCACGCCAAGGTCATCTCTAGCCTCACTCCCATTCAAAGGCTTGGCAACCAAGCACACAACTGTAAAATGGACTATTGATTTAAGAATGCGTTTTTATACCACGGCTTTTGGGAATGTTAACCAATTGATTTCCTTTCTTCTGGTTGATCATCGTAGGTGACATATGCTCCTTAGAATATTGATAACGATCAGAAGACTGCGACTAGTTTAAGTCAATAATGAATTCAGGGATTTGTCTTGAAAGGCAGGTGAGATTACTTCAAATCATCTTTTCCGAACTATAAGTTGGCACTTGAAATAGAATCATATATATGACGGATGTCTAACCGTCGGGCTATCGGTTGGTCATCATACTTTCGTAAAGTCAGCTGGAAATTGTTTTTGTTATTATCGCGAAACAAGTAATGGCAATCATGCACTCAGATTGATTTTGTAGCTAAACGGCACTTACACTATCCTCGACTCGCCATAAATTCAATGCGATAAATGAAACGCACATCCTTAATATTTGATTATTACTTGCTATTTCTAATTGCTGATGCAGAAAAGTCAAGAAATATCTACCTTTGCGATTGATTACGACTTTAAAACAGAACTGAATAAACATTTGTTTTTGTAGCCTTGTCAAACTTTCAATATCGACTTATTACACCGTGAACGTTAAATACGTATGATGCACGATCCTCGCAGTAGATAGCGCTATTTATGCAATAGCGAAAATCAGACCTGAAAAAAATCAGGCCTGTACGGGACTCGAACCACTGACCTCTGCGATACTAGTGCAGCGCTCTACCAATTGAGCTAACAAGCCAATTGGGAGAAGGCCGTTAATCAACTTAAAGACAAATCGGAACACTTTTCTCCACGTTTGTACATGTAACTTTATTTAGGTACGCATACAAAGCCATTTGGTAACTTTATTTTTCTTGTTTCGCATTTATTAACTGAACGACGAGTTAGTGACTTGGGACTGTTCTATGAGACATCAAAAAATAACAAGTAATAACATTCAAAGGCATCGAAACTTTGCATAGCACCTACAAACTAATTATCTTTCTTTAATAATACTCCGATTTTGGGCAAACTAGGTGACATCTGTGTGGTGTCGTCTCCCAGTATAAGACACCTCTTTGTTTAATCGACTAATTACTTCCTGACTTTTATCTATTTGCCCAGCCCCCCTGTTGTTCCAATCAGATGGAAACAGGAAGTCCTTTGTGCCATGCATCAGATGAATCCCATAATGAGGCAGTCCTTTGCTTTAAATAGTCAGCTATCGTTTCGGTATTGAGCTTTAGCAAGCTCAACCATACGTTAAGAATACCACTTTGTTGCCAATATTCTTATCGAAGAGCACACTACTTGAAAATGATCTTCACGGTTAAAAAGGGGCGGTTTAAAAGTTAAGATTCACCGTACGCGTTAATCCGTCATGTCTGCTGATTTCAAGCGCCACGTCGTTCTGGTATTCCTTTTAACAATTGTCACTGTAGCCCAATTTGTTGCTGGTAAGTATTATCATTTATTTTCAGCTAGTCAAGGTGTCTCAGTAAGGGGATTCATTGCGCTACCTGCAACAAATCTCGAAGTGTAGGTGGACATGCCAAAAAATATGATGAACCCAAATACTCAACAATTAATTTTTTCTCTGCTTCTGTAAGATGTACCTGATTAAAATTACAGTTTGGTTCATTGTTTAACCCTATTTACAAATGAAAGGTGATCAGCATACCGTTTTGTTTAGGCATAAAGACTTTTTTATTGAGATGCAGTCGGTTGAAGAAAAGTGAGAGTTTAGATTTTATACATTCAATGTTGAAATAAATGAATAATGCTACAAGTTAAAATAAAAAGGTATGTGGGAGGATTTTTGCCTCAGTCCACGCATTTCCACTGCGCACCTGCTAAACCTAACTGAACTCCTTAATTTTTATGAAGTGCACCATCCATCATCTCCTTACAAGACGATTTATAATAGTCGGCATTCTCGTTCTCGCGTGAAGGCTAACAGGGAGTAAAATAACTAATCGTTCTAAACCTTTAGAGTGGACTTCTTTTTGATGTGAAATTAACAGCTTGGATTTCCTTTTCTTTTTACGTCAACTTTTGCACGAGTTGGAAATTCGCCCTCACTGCTTGCTGTTCACGCAATAAAAAAATGCAAACTTGTCGGGTGTTTCAAGTGAGTGTGCAAACGGTACAAAGCGCTGTCTGAAATGTTCTTGAACAAATCTCTTATGATTTATTATGGACTACATTTTACTTAGACAATTTTCACTTAAAAAAAGTACTAGCCTTTCAACCATTCAATGTTGAGTGACAGAGAACTTATTGGTGTATATTAAAAATTAAATAGATAAAATGGTCAAATAGGAGCCGGATATTTTTATAAATCAAATGATGGCTCGCAAAAACTGTTCCGCTGAGAAAATTTATCGTGAGGGTACTATGGTACATTGCTCGCACGGTGCTCGATTAATTAACAAATGAAATACCTCGCATGGCAGCGAAGCGTTTATCGTACTTGCTCTTTGGAAGGACACAAATGGAAAATGACAATAAGAAGAAAGTACGGTAAAAGATCAACATAATGTTCGGAATTGCTTGACAATTTCAAACAAATATCGTACACTTTTAACTGAGTTTGAAAGACATTTACGGTTCCGAAAGTCAGTGATATTGATGCAAGATTTCTGATTGCTGCGCAACAAGTAAACTGTGTCCAGCTGCCGGGCATTTAGCCAGAACCTTACGTGTGTCGTGAATATGCGTAGATTTAATCATTTATGTATTTAACAGAGCAGTCGAAAGAACACTTCGCCTTTATGGTTGTTATTAAAGAAGAGCTAAAAGGAGATATCCCTCTTTCGTCCAATTCGACGACAAATACTAGATAGTTGTGTCTCGGAATTGAAACAAATTTATGTCATCAGAAGTCGCTCAGGACATAAACTTTTTCAAAACGAAAATATTTTCGGACACTCGTGAAGTTTTATACAAAGGCCAGATTTTAAAATATTTTATACCTGGGTGCTACCAAACTAACCAGTCTGCGATATATCTTCTTTTCATCTTTGAGGGCACCGAACCGACTCAAAAGCTTCCATCACTAACAACTTGGGCTAGGATGGCCAGATGATTGAGTCCAGCAAAATTGAACCTAGCAAAGAGTAATTTGTGATTCATCGACTAAAATTCTATATCCCGTTCATCTTTTCCAGAGATAAAAGCTATAGAAGGACATCGGTTCCCTTCTGACAAGACATTCAAACAGCGCCTGTTTTCAAAAGATGAACGTCATTATCTGAACGTAAATCGAGTTGGAATATTCACTATGTACAACTTGTTAGATTGCCTATTTGCATGTGTAAGAAATACTTTTTGCCTCTCAATAAACATGGCCGCCTCCAAAGAAGCATATGGAAAGCTTTGGTGTGAATTGTTGTCTTCTGATAAGTACAGAGACGCTGAGAACTACAAGGAAAACACGAGTGCGCATCATTTGTCCATTCTGGTAAGGACTTTTACAAAGAGGAGTTTCATTGCAATTCGACCGTTTACAGATATAACGTTTTTTATTGATTTTCGTAAAATCATAAACACAAAGGCCACCCAGAACGAAGGACAAGACCTCAAAGCCGATAAGAACTCAGACTTGAGACTAAAGACTAAGCACGGATGACTGGGTCCAAATATTGTTTTTAGTTTGCATCTGATCGTTGACAGAGTAGTGCGGGTCTTTTGGACCGATCACTGGGCAAAGCAAATCTAGTGCAATCTGGGGTTAATATCAGCACTCTTCTAGATGTATCTAAAAACAGACGCACCAGTGTTAATATCAGTTATTATTTTTCTTGTTTTAGTCTCCTTGTTCTTATTCGCCATGTCAAAACGGAGGAACCTGCATCCCGATTTACAAATACACGTCTTACCAATGTCTCTGTGAACCAGGTTTTATGGGAGAGTTTTGCGAGAAAGGTAATATGGGATTATTCATCGCGATATTCAGTAACCCTCGCTCTAAAACCTTGTTGTGAAAAAAATTTTCTTTCTTCACAACGCAATTCTCCTAATTTTTCTGTGCCCTGCATACTCTTTAGTTAAGATGTCTCTGATTTTTCCAAGGTCCATACTTGATGGATGATGACCCGTGACTGATGATAATGACCTGTGCTATAGATATCTTATTAGACATTTTGTTGTGTAGTATCTATCGCTGAGTATTTTTACGAGTTGTGCCGTATCTTGACCAGCCCGTAAGGCGAGTCAAAATACAAATAACGAGTACAATACTCAGCGATACCACACAAAAAAACGTCTAATAAGTTATTTGTTACCCAACACGCCAAACTGTTATTTCAGCGCGGGCGAATTTCGCCGATATTTATTTACGGGTAGTGCGTGACAGAAGTCTGCGAAGCGAAACGGAATTGGCGCGTTGTTGTGTTGCTGTTTCTATTTTCTTCAATAGATGAAGAAATTTCTTGGTCGTCCAGCTGTTGTTCTTCGTTCGATTCATCTAATAAACTTGGATATATATTTTCCAGCCATTCCGACTCTTCATCGTCAGGAATATGATTCAAATTGTCCGCCAGTTTTCGTAACTTCAATCCAGTTCTTCGCTTGCGCGATGCGAGAAAGCCTGTCTAACCGGTTCTCTGGAGTACAAATACCGCGAGATAATTTGTACTCGTCTATGGCGTTATTTGTACTCTACGGAGTGTAGTTCGATAATAAATGTAGTTATTTGTTAAATAAAGGTGATAAATTTATTTTCAGTTAACCAAGTGATGAATAATCGCTCAAAAATAAATGATTAATGCGAAAAGATTCGCCCGAAAAAAGGACACTTCTTTATTTCATTGTCGCTATTTCATTTTAGGATTGAAAAGCTGAAAAATGTCCTGCCCATAAATCTGAGCAGAACCAATATACAACATGGTTTCACTGCAAGGACATTAGGCTTTAGATCTTGAGCGTAAGGAAAACATTGAAAATAAATAAAGAAAACACTTTTTTTCTATCTCCCAGCTATTACGTCTTGCAAAGAGCTCTATGACTTTAATAGGTAAGTAAAAAGCTATACTAAGAGTATCAACGTAGCACGATCCCCTGAAGCGCATATTAACAATTTCAAAAGGATTGATGTCCATGCGCCTACCCTCCCATCGCCCGCCACCTTTGGGGTTGTCCTAAATGAGAACGGCTGGAAAGATTGGCAGAAGGGAGAAGGGAGATGGCCCATACTTGTTTTAGATTAGAAAGTAGACCTACCAATACATATTCTCATACTGGGACTTGGATTATCATAAGAACTCTTATGCAGTTAGCTTTCTCTCTTTGATCCCTTGTAAATAGGTTTAATGTCAGTGAACTTGTTACCCTCCGCCTGGACTCTAAATCAGTCACCATTCTCTGCCACATGGGAGATTTTGGATGCGGAAATGGAGGATGGACGCCGGTCATGAAGATTGACGGCAAAAAGGTAAGATTTTCTGGTGAGGTACGCATTCAAGTAGTTTCCGCCAATCAAGACATGTTTGGCTGACTCGGGCAAGGAAAATCCACAAGTACTAATTTTAAAATGCGGGAATCTATTTTGAAGATATGGTGTCCCATGTGAGTGGCTCTGGATAAGCGGGCGATCGACAATTTACAGCAGATACAAACAAATGATTCTCATACAGTTGTCACTTTGTTTGAATACCATGGGTTTGATTTATATCCAAAAACCGGTTAAGCTTGAGCGAACGATCGTTACGCGAAATAGAACATTTATGAATATGAAATTATTTTGTTTTAACAGAGCACCTTTCATTACAACAGCCCTTACTGGAGCAATAAAATTGAATACAAGCTTCCCGGTGGGGAGTCTGGCTTTGATTCACAGGAGACAAAGTTATCGTCCTATTGGAACACATCTTTCTCCAAGATCTGTCTCGTTATGAAGATTGGACAACACCTCGGGTTCACTGTCATTAACAAGCAGGCCGACTCTCTGTACTCACTGATCGCTGACGGTCAATACCGCGCCATCTCATTGGGTCGAGAAACGTGGAAGAATCTGATTGGTTCAGATGCCTCCTTGCAGTTAAATTGTAACAGGGAAGGATTCAACACTGCTGATGTTAACCCCATCGACGTTTTCCATTCTGAAGCAAGAATTGGCATCGTTGCTAACCAGGAGAATGACTGCAAAAGCTGTGACTCCAGGATTGGATTCGGTACAGGAGGATATTTTGATGACGCCGTGACGTGTGGTAACGTGGCAAAAATAGAAGGAGATAATGGAGACAGGCATACCCCTGCAATGGGGTACATCCTGGTGCAATAATACCAATACTCTCAAAAGGTAAGCAGCTCTAAGAGTTAGATACTTTATAAAAGAGTACCTCCCCGTCGGACTTTTCTAATGAAAAAGAGGCTCTCTCTTGATTAAGTTTTAAAAAGCTGTGAGTGAGGAGCAGGCATTAAATGGTCATCTATGCTGATCCAGATGTTAACAGTTTCGTAAATAAATGTTCGTTGACCAGCAACCGTGTTTTAAAAAAGATGGTTTTATGCGGTATTACGCTAGTAGGTTACATGGTGGATGGTGGATGTGAAATTTCTAGATTAAACATTTAGAAGCAAGGTTATTTACGCACTACTATTCCAAAACCGAGTCTCGCAGATATTGAGCTGGCGCAGAAGGGGAGTGAAATGATTGTATCTGGAATTTGTAACAATTTGCAGAAAAGTTGTGCAGTTACTGAATACACCTCATTCGATTTTAAAACTCCCTTTCATTATATGATTATTGATAGTTTGCTATATGTTAAAATACGAAAATTTTCTAAATTGCCTAATAAAATACATTCGATAAAGAGAATTCCTCCCGAATCACAAGCATAATTTAAACAGTTTTTAAAAATGAGTGGAAGTGATGTGTGTTGCTTTATTGTTCAAATCAAACAAAAAAGCACTGAGAGGGAAAAAGGGATTGACAGGGAAGAATTTAATCCCTTGTGTTGTTTTGGAAATATGCACATACAAACATGTCTTTCAACAGAAAAATCCCCCTGAAAAACGAAATGCGAAAATTGCGAGCAAAGCAGAAACTAAGTTCTGGGATCTTTTGTGTTTTGGAGTTCGAAATTCCGGAATACAGCTCCTGGATCCATCTGTATTGTATTGTATTGTCTTTCACCTGTATTTAACGGTTACTTATAGTGGAGTCACTTAAAAAAATTTTTTTTAAACGTTTTTTATATCACCCCTACTCTGTGGAATTTAGCAGTCAACCTGTATTGTGCGGTCACAATTCGGCATGGGTGACTGCGTAATACAGGTTTGACTATACGCTAATACTAAAACGGGCCGATTTCACATGACATCACAGCGGCCATAGCGGTATTTCGAGGTATTCCAAAACAATTAAAAAGTGGCTTCAAGTAAATCATGTGGGATCTAAACGCTTTTGTTATGTAAACACTTTCTTTTTTCCCTCTAAACTTGCCTACTGAAACACATTTTCAAAAACGTGGATTCCAGACTCATTCTTCAACGGGATGCTGGATTCTGGATTCCAAAGCCCAGTCTTCTAAAGCCAAGTCTTCTATATTCCAGAAGTAAGAATTTCCTGGATTCCGGAATCCGCATTACCTTTTATGGGGCAACCGTGAGCAAGTTTAGTGCTCTACAAACTATCCAAGTGCCAAAAACATCAACCGATTGTTTTATAACTTAGCGGGTAAAACTTGTACACGAAGAAAGAGTTGTATAAATCAGTACTTTTAGCATTTATAAACATCTCCAAATGATATTTACACATCTAAAGAGGAATCCAAACGTCACAAAGCCTGACATGGAGTAAGCAGGCTCAGTTTTCTTTCTTTCCAACCATAAATCTTATGGCTCTTCGGAATGAAACATTCTTCACTGCTAAGCTAAATTTGTTGCTTGAAAGACCTACATACGCCTCATGTTTTAGGAATCGAGTGCTATCAAACCATAATTTTTTTCTTTTTCCTGCTTCTTCTTATTTTTCTTGTTGAGCGTTAAAGGATCAATATTCAAACGGCCGTGCGTACATAGATATGACTTTACAACGCCATATTGGCTCATAAGGAATAGCCCATTACCTAATTACCCTTGGACTCGTTTTGAAAATGAGGCCAAGGGTAATTCGGAAATGGGCTATTAGGAAGGACTTGCGTGCGCGCTATATGTTATAAGGTCTATAAGGGAGAATAGACTAAACAAGATCGAGTTGAAAATATGAAACTTAAGTATACGGGCTAAATTAAATTTTAGAGCCGCAACTTGACTTCGAGTGATTAATTAAACAACAAAGAATCGAAATTCGGATGCATTAAAATTTGCCTAAATTGTTAAACTGCAACCTGTCCCTCATATCTCTTTAAATTGTGGCGACGCACTCTATTCTTTCAAGGCATTACGCTTTGATAAACAATCTGCCTAAATGCATTAAAATTTGCCTAAATTTTTAAACTGCAGTCAGTTACTCATATCTCTTTAAGTTGTGGCGACGTACTCTATTCTTTCAAGGCACTACGCTTTGATAAACATTCTTCCTAAAAATGGAGCAGCAACTTGCCTTCGAGCGATTAATTAAACAACAAACAATCGAAATTCGGATGCATTAAAATTTGCACAAAATTGTTAAACTGCAGTCTGTCCCTCATATCTCTTTAAATTGTGGGGAAGCAGTCTATTCATTGAAAGGATTACACTTTGATAAATATTCTCCCGAATGCGCTTTACAAAAATATCAGATCTGTCCAAAAAATACCAATAAGTTGGCTGCAAAATATAATTCCCCCATCTTCATTTGTATTAATCAAATTTTCAWKRWT